ACTAAAATCCAAGTGGATAAAATATCTAAATATTAAAAAAGAGATACTAAATTTACTGGAAGATAAGTTAGGCAGAACTCTTGAAGACACTGGCATAGGAAAAGACTGTTTAATTTCTTCCTCTGCTATCTTTATTCCTTTTCTTTCTCTTTTCTAATTTCTGTGGCTAATGTTTCTAGAACTATATTGAACAGGAGTGGTGATAGTGGATATCCTAGTCTTGTTCCTGATTTTAGTGTGAAGGTTTTCAGGTTTTGACCATTTAGTATGTTGGCTGTTAGTTTTTCATAGATAGCTTCAATCATGTTGAGATAAAGATCTTCTATTCCAATTTTCTCTAGGGTTTTTATCATGAATGGGTGTAGGATTTTGTCAAATGCTTTTTCTGCATCTATTGAGATGACAATATGGTTTTGGTCCTTGGCTCTGTTAATATAGTGTATTACATTTATTCATTTACTTATGTTGAACCATCCTTTGCATACCTGGGATAAATCTGACTTGGTCAGGGTGTATGATCTTCTTGATGATTCTCTGTATTCTGTTTTTCAGTATCTTTTTTAGGAGTTTTACATTTATGTGCATTAGGTATATTGGCCTGTCTTTTCTTTTCTTTTTTTGGTTGGGTCTTTCCCTGTTTGTTTTTTCTTCTCATTGGGTTTATTGGTACATTTTAGGTATACAATACAGTTACATTCATCATTGGGATCTTGTACCCTTACACGGCAGGTCTTGGTTATTATTTTTTCCCTTACCCCTGCCCCCCTTCACTCCCTCCTCCCTTCCCCATTTACAAATACTCTATTTCCATTTTTTCACTTTCTCACATTTTTTCCTTTTCCCTTATTTCCTTTCCCACTTTTGCTACAACTTTAGTCCTTTTCTTCCTATTTCATATTGTCAATTTTTCTCTGGTTTTGGAATCAGACTAACACTTGCTTCCAGGGATAAATTTGGGAGTATTGCTTCCTTAACATGGCTCCTTAATTAAAGAGTGGGAGAGGCGGGGGAAAGGCAATAAGGGAAGAGAAAAGATGTGAGAAGATGAAAAAATGGAGGTAAAGTATTTGTAAATGGGAAAGGGAGGAGGGGGTGAAGGGAGGGCAGGGGTAAGGGGAAAAATGAGACCAAGATCTGTCATATAAAGGTACAAGATCTCAATGATGAATGTAACTGTACTGTATACCTAAAATGTACCAATAAACTCAATAAGAAAAAAGAAAAAATTAAAGAGTAGTGGCAATGAATGAACTACAGTTTTTACTATAATGTTTGGTGGAGTGAACTGCCTATGCTAGGAAAGGTATTTTGTCTGCTTTGGTTTTGGTCTGTGCATTGGCTATAAAGTAGGGTGTGTGTGTGTGTGTGTGTGTGTGTGTGTGTGTGTGTGTATCTGCCTATCTTATGACATTTCTGAATTATTGGCTACAGTAGCAAGTTTATACCATCATTGTGGTAAAATGTCTTAAATAAACAACTTATAAGGAATAAGTTTATTTTGGCTCATGATTTTAAAGGCTCAGTATATGGTGGGTTGATCTTGTCCCTATTGGCTGTGGAGTGAGGTAGAACATTCTTGTAGGAGTGCATGGCAGAACATACTTCATGGTGGCCATAAATTACAGAAAGGAAATATGGGATAGGGGCATAATATTCCTTCAAGGACCCTCCCTCAATGACCTAACTTCCTTTCATTAGGCTCAACCTCTCAAAAATTCTATAACTTCCCATTAGAGCCATGTTAAGCCTTCGACATACAGGCCTTTGGGGGATATTCCAGATCAAAACCTCAGCGCTGGCATTGCCACTTTAAAGTCTAGGATAGTGAAACAAAAGTAAAAGTGAGGAACATCTTATCATGCTGTCCTTTGGGTTATAAGATTTCCAGCTAGTCTATCTTCTTTTATAAACCTTCTAGAGTCTTATATTAGTTTATACATAAGCCCAGGACTTTAAGTTGTGCACAGCAGAAAATGGAAAAAATTAAGTCTATTCCATCTTCTTGCAAAAAAGCAGGAATCTTTTTTAGTAGATTTTCACTGATGGTAATGAGTGTAGAATATTGATCACCTGCATCATCAGCTCATTTTTTAGTTGCTTCTATGATAACAGGTATATCATTTCATATTACAAGGGATATGGAAATATGAACACATGACACATATTATTGATTCTTTGTAAGTTTCTTTAACTGCCAGAGGGATTAATCACTGAGATTACCCTCACATAGTCCCACTTGTTGAGCAATCCTTTGATTTTTTTTTTGCATCATTTCTGGCATTATGATAACTCCACAATCAGATCCACAAAAACTGAGGTGTCTGACTACAGAACTGTGGCAGACAGACTCTAACATAGTTCCCTGATCTTCATCTCCTGACTTTTAGGAGGTGCCTGAGTGGGAGCTAAGAGAACCCTCTTGCTGACATCCAAATTGAAATTGGGAATTTAGCCATACAGTTCTAAAGAAATGAATTCTACCAAAAATTTGAGCGAGGCTGAAAGAGGAATCTTTGCTCAGGGGAGGAGAGAGAGAGAGAGAGAGAGAGAGAGAGAGAGAAGAGAGAGAGCGAGCGCACAGTCCAGCTGACACTTTGCAGCACTGTGTCATATCCAGCCAAACCATGTCTGGACTTCTGACCTTCAGAAATGATGCAGTCATGTTTGTATGTTGTTTCAAGCACTAAGTTTGTGGTAATCTGCTAAACAGCAATAGATAAGCATATATCAACCACTACGACCTCATAAATATGGTGAAATATTAGTTTAAAAAATTTTTAACAGAATTACCTCTTCTTGGAGTCTTTATTTTAGTAATTTTATTGGTACACTTTTAATATACATAATGATCACATTTATCGCAGGGAATTTGTACCTGTACATATTATATCTTGATTCTTCTTTTTTCCCTATTTCCTTCCCCACCTTAACCCTTCTTATCCTCCTTATTTATAAAAGCTTTGCTTCCATTTCCCTTCTATTCCCTTTTTTACTTTTCCCTTCTTTCCCTTCCCCCTCCTTTGTTCCCTTTCCCATATGAACATTTTCTTCCTACTTCCCAATACCTATCAACAATTTTGGCCCTTACACTTTCAGTTTCTCACAGAAGGGAAACAATATGTGTCCAGTTTATTTCACATAAAAGTATGGTTTCAAGGTACATCCATTTACCTAAAAATGTCTCAAGTCCATTCTTTTTTATAGCAGAGTAGTACTCCATTGTATATAAAAGTCACATTTTTTATCCATTCATCTGATGGTGGGTATTTGGGCTGTTTCCAAGAGTTAGCTATTACAAACTGTGCTGCTAGAAACACAGGTGTGCATATATTGATGTGCCATGATGCTTTTAACTCTTTCAAGAAGATACCAAGAAGGAGAATAGCAAGGCCAAATGGAACCTCTAGTTTCAGCTTTTTGAGGAATCTCCATACTGATCTCCATTTTGGTTGTACCAATTTACACTTCCAGCAACAGTGCAGAATGGTTCCCTTTTCCCCACAGCCCCACCAGCATTTGTTGGTGATTGACTTCTTGATCATAGCCATTCTTTCTGGGGTGAAATAAAATCTCAGTGTTGTTTTAATTTCCATTTCTTGAATGACCAGTGACGTTGAACATTTTTCATATATTTATTTGCTATTTTTACTTCATCTAAGAAGTGTCTATTCATTTCATATGCCCATTTTTGGATTGGATCTTTAAATTTTTAGTGGTTTGGTTTTTTTGAGTTCTTCATATTTTCTAGATATTAGTCCTTTGACACAAATAGCTGGTAAATTTTTTTTCCTACTCTGTGGGTTGTCTCTTCACTCTTTGGTGAAAGCTTTTGGACATCAGAAGGTAGGGGGTCTCACAATAAATTCTGACCCTACACCAGTGACTAATGACAGATGAGTTTTTGTATTCCTAATTAAGCAATACAAACATTTGTTTGGAATCATATGTGGCTTGCTGGGACAGGCTCTAGTCTTTGTTTCCTAATGTGAAAATGGAGATTATAATATCTACTTCATAAAGTGAGTGTAAGAATTGAATATGATAATGCAGGTGAAAGCTGTTTTAATATAGGGCCTGGAATTTTCATGGTGTACAGCCAAGTTTTGTGGCTCTGACCTTGTTAATATTGTAATGAGACATGTTTCTGTCAAAATTAACACAACACAATATCAATTAATTTGCAGATCTCTTCTCTGCTCCTGCCCCTAAAGATTTTTCAGTCATTTGCCCTGGATCAAAACATCCTTTGGTGTGGTCCTTTCTCAATTCTTACATTGCAGAGAAACATTTTTTTGTTTCCCTACCACTGTCCACACACACACACACACACACACAAAAATAACAAAGTCCTGTGTGGTCCTTTCTCAATTCTTACATTGCAGAGAAACATTTTTTTGTTTCCCTACCACTGTCAACACACACACACACACACACACCAAAATCAAACCAAGTCCATCAAATCACTTCTATACCCATTCCTGGGCTTCTATGCAGAAACCACCATACTTCTGGTTAATAGAGTTCAGCGAAAGGTTCATTAATTCTCCAAGAAAAGAATACCGCCACCAAAGAGTAGCCTCTTAGACCCTGTTATTTGCTCCCTTAAGAAAGTGCGGAGGGTGAAGTCAGAGGCCTGGCTTGAAAGCCCTTTGGAGGCCTGAGAATCCCACAGGGAAGGACAGGGGACTTCGCTTTTTTCATCACCCAAACGGCCAGAAATCATCCTATTAGGACTAGCAGGTCTAAGTACTTAAAGACATGTGCCTGACAGGGACAGAACAGGAGCAAGTTCTGGGTGTTCAGAGGCTCCTTCTTACTCTCTCCGGTGCCTGCCGCCACACAGTGCCACATCAGCGACTGCACTGCACTTCCAGGTTCCCTAGGAGGATGCAGGGAGCTGGTCCGGTGGGCGGGGGCGGCCCGAGGCCCACAGGAGTGTCGGACCGCTCAGCCAATAGGTTGAAAGTGCGTAGCCAAAGTCACCAATGAGCTGGGGCTTCTTCCAGACAGGATAGCTCAGGCTAGTTACTCGCGGAGGGACCAGATGAAGCACATCTGGACAGCTGTACTAGGAGGCTGTGTGGCTTCTTCGGGAGGCAGGACGTCACCTAGGCACGCCTCCCACGTCGTCTCCTTCTAGCTATTTATTATTTATTCAATTTCGCCAAGAAGCAGCCAGGGCTCCAAGCTTGAAACTTTTTCTCCCCTCACCCCCAAGAGAGAAGGGCTAGGCCCGTTCAACACATAGCTTAATTTTCAGGGGGCTCTGAGATCAAAAGAACAGAAACAGCAACAAAAGCCCAGCCTCGGCGGCCTGATTTTAAACTGGCAGAGTTAGAAAAATAAAGTTTGGGTAAACAGAGCAAGCTGGGTAAGTTTTGAATACGTGCTGGATATCATGTTTCTCGTGCTGTAATCTCTATCCTGTCTTTTTGCTGTTCTCATCAGCCTTGTCTTATTAGAAGAGAAAAAATATTTCTTGCTGGAATACACTACACAGACATTTCATTTCCTCCTCATCTGCTTTGTGAACATTAAAATTTTTTGTCTGCTTTTTATATTTTGGGGTGTGCTATTATAAAGATTTGATAGGGATAAAAGTTGGATTTGTATTTTGTTGTAAGCAGCTCATAACTCCAAAGTTGAATGATCCATTATTTTTTCCCTGTGAGAATACTGTATATATTTATAAAGAATGAAATCTTTATCCATCCTCCACTCCCTGCTTCGATGGGAGATTGAGAAAATTATCTGCTTTATTCTGAGTTAACACAACTTTTGCTTCTGTTAATAGGATGCTTGCTAGTAAGGTATTTAAAATGGCTTATGTAGGGAATTGTCAAATATTTCATTTAAATTTAATGTAATTGTGATCCAACTATGTATTTTCTGTTTTCCCTTATTTCCAGTGCAGGACCCAAATACTTTATGACTGTTAAAAAATAACTAAACACAGGACAGTGTATCTATAAAATTGTATGTCCAACTTATAATTCTATCATAGTAATATTCACAGTGGTTGTTAAATATCAGTGTTTGCAAATATTTCTGGTTTATATTTCATGATTTAGAAATGGAATGGTGGAAAATTTTGGGTTAGGTATGTAGCTGAGGCCTTCTGTATCTGAGACATCTATCATTTCCTCCTGTATGAAAGAATGTTTTAAATTTGAAATTTTGTTACATGTTGTTTACTTCCATGGGTGATCTGACCAGAACTGATTTTTAATTTCTGGCTCAGAAAGCACTGGGTTGGAATTTGGCACTGAAATTATACATTGTAGAATATGTTTTTGATTCAGAAATGTAATGTCCACAAAAAGGTAGAACAACTGAAGTGGCTTTTGGAGATGCTAGGTGAGAAGGAGTTTTGCTGTAGAGAGGCAGTGTTCAGAGCTAGCTGTTCAGTTTCAAGATACAACTTCATAGAGTGACCTGGGGCAAGTTATTCAGCCCATCTGTGCCTCAGTTTCCTGCTCCATAATGTGCTAATAATAGTAACAGTACTCCAGGAGGTTATCTGCAGGACTGAGTTCACCTATGTACAACACTTAGAAAAGTCTGGTATTTGGTATGTCTTTGCTATTGAACTCATTTTCCCAGTCTTCCTTGCTGCACATCAGTGTCCCTAGTAGCCATCCTGACCACTGTGCTAGAAACTACCATTTGGTGTTGACCAATCGATAGCAGGTACTGTGAGAGATTCTATAAAGGAGCAAGTCTTTCTTGGAAAATGTGGTAGAATTGATTAAGGGCCTTACATCTAGAAGGTTCTGGATATGCTGAGGATATTTTAAAAGGCCATTTGATTGTATGATGGCATTACAGAAGAGTCAGCATTTCTGTAAAGAAGTTTGTCAATTGATTTTTAGTTTGGAGGGGGAGGTAGAAAGTTCCAAGAGCAGCAGAGGTATTCTAGAAGTAAGGGGAAGCAGGGACAAAGACATAGTGGCTGCAAAATATTGAGCTATCATGGAGACTTCAGGGCAATCTGTAAGAGGTTAACAGAAGGAGAGGTTGGAAAGTGGAAGAAGTAGTAGAGCATGGCATAGAGTTCCAGATAAGGAAGGAGAGGTTTGGGGGTTTGATTGGTGGAGGTTGGTGACCTGAGCTGGCAGCAGTTATGTAGTAGAGATGTTTCTAGAACAATCCATATCTCAGGTCCATTCTCTATTCCTTGCCCAGCATGTTTTCCTGAGCTGCTGTAGAGCTTCAGTGACCTCCATTCAGCTTGGGGCAGGAAGGGCTGGGTAGTAAGCCAAAGCCACGTTTTGAATACATTCTATGGTGGTTGTCTTGGAACTCTATTTAAATAATTTGAAGCACTTAACCATTAACCAGGCCACCTTGTGTTAACAGGTCACTTTCTAAAGTCTTTGACATGGGTGTGATTGTTATAACCATCCACAGTCTCTGTATACGGTGTGCGCAGAATCACTTTCTCAACCTGTTTATGTAATCATCACAAATAATCAAGTTAATACTTATAATCTTGTAATTTACTTATAAATTTATAGTTTTATAATTTAATCATACTTTTGTAATTTGCTAATCTAAACAATACCTACAATAGGGACCTAAGTTTGGAATTCTCTTGCTTTTCTTTCTTGAGGACATTGTGCTATGGCAGAGATCTGTGCCCTCATGTGCTCTTGACCCACCTGCCTGACCTCAGGCAAGGCATGGAACTATTATACCTCTCTGTGCCATCATCTGTGAAATGTTCTCTAAGGCCCTTTTCCCTTGGATAATTATTTCCTTTTCTCATCCCATCCCTAGAACAGTCTGTTGCTCACAGATTTGATACATCTATGGCTAATCTTTTCTGACCACTTAATACATAGCAAATGCTGTATTGACACATGTGTTAGCCCATGGCTGTCAGCACTGGTATCTGTTTGTGTTCTGTTTTTATGGTTGAGGATACAGAGTCAAAGACAGGTTGAGAAACTTGCTCATGATTAGTGAATAGTGGCAGATCCAGTAATGGGCAGTCCAGCTCCAGAGACCAAGCCATGGTCATTAGGCTACACTGCCTCAGGTGTGTGAGTAGCTATGACTGCTCTTCTTGTTTGTGGTAATGACAGTGAAGAAGTCCAAGAGATAAGGGTCACTGGAGGCAAAAGCACATTTGGAGAGACAGAGTTGATAACATTTGGCTGAAGGTTCCACAATATTAACCAAAGTCTTGTCTATGAGATATGCTCCATACAGAGACAGGAAGCGCGTCACTTGTTTGCTAGCTGGATCTCACTGCAGGCAAACTTTCCATATTTTATCTTGTTTGGACAGAACTCACCATAATACCTGAACTTGTAGACATTCAATAAATGTCAGTTAAATGATTGTCGCCACTTAAGAGAGGAAGTTGTAACCATAGTACTTTTATTAAAAATATAAAAACTATGAAGTATTCCAAGGCTTGTTAAAAATGGGGTAGATGTGAGGTAAACATTATATTTCTACTTCTTGGGCATCTTTTTTTCCCTCATCTTCTTTTGTAGAGGAGCAGTGTTTTAGGGGTAAAGATTTTTCATGATGAAGGTCAGGGAAGGGCTATTTTAGGTGTAAAATTATGACACACCCAGTCTGGATTTGCAATTTTTCAGGGAATTCATCCCTTAAATTTTTTTAGGTATTGAAACAACTTTAAAATATTACTTGGAAAACATTTTAACTAGCTCTTTATTTCATTACTTTAAAGTAGTCACCCTTTTCACTGTAGCATAGGAACTAAGCAGACACATAGGCTTTCTAGTCAGATTGTAAGGATTTGAATCCCAGATATGCTTCTTGCTAGTATGATCTTGGGCAAGTAACTTTCTTTAGGAGGTTTTATTACCCATAAAATGGGGCTATCCAAAGATATTACCAGACATATTTAATGTAAAACATTTTAGCATAGTGTCTGTCTCATAGTAAAAACTAAGTATAACCAATTAATCTTTTTTTTTTTTTTTTTTTTTTT